AAATGTTCTATAAGACTGATAGACTAAATCTTCAGTGAGGGGGCTGGAGGGATGGTTCAGGGGTTTAAAAGCTTGCTCTTCTTTCAGAGGACCAGAGTTCAGTTCCTAGCACCCAAGCCTGGCACTTCACAACAGCTCCTTCCTCCAGCTCAGGGGATCTGACACCCTGTTCTGGTCTCTTCAGGTGTGTGCACTTGATGCTCTTGCAGAGGACCCAAGTTTGGCTCCTAGCACCCACACTGGGTAGCTCACAACTGCTTGTAACTCCAGTTCCAGGGTAATCTGATGTCCTCTTCTGGCCTCCCCCAGCACTGCAGGTACATATACATACAGACAAGCAGGTACATACACAGAAATTTTAAATAAAAAATAAGATGGATGGTGCCTAAAGAATGACACCTGAGGTTGACTGACAGCATCCATATGCATGTGAGTACATGCACCGCACTCTCACATATATACCCATACACACAAACAACCCCCCCCACACAACAAAACCAGTGAGTAAGCCAGGAAAATCCACAGTCTGATGTTGGGCTTTGATGAGTCCTGAAGAAAGGTGTGTCTAGCTAACCATGTGTGTTTGCCTCTGAGATTCATCAACATTTACTTCATGAGTCTGGCTTTGTGTTGAGGGCAGGTTGTTAGCTTTGGCTGTATGTTAAGACTCACTACAGAGATTTTGAGGAACAGCAATACCCTGGGATCCAAGGCAACAGGAGTCTCTGGAGGTGAAGCCCAGGCAGGTTTCAAAATCTCTGCACAATATCCTCAGGACCTAAGACAGGGAAGGGCTGATCCAGCCCTGCCCCCAGCCTTCTCAAATTTCAATGTCCATTTGAATCTCTTGTGGATCTTGTTGAAATGCAGATTTTAGAGTAATAAGTACTCTCCCTGCATTTCCAGGACGATTGGCAGCAAAAATATCATGGAGCCAAGACAGTCTATTGATTCTCTGAATTACATGTGTTCTCAATCAACAGCTGAAAGGTTTAATTAGCATCTAAGACCTTCTGTCACTGTCCTCACTTCACTCTTGTCCAGCTCTCCCATCTATGGGTAACTATACTCTGTAGAATTAAGATGTGTCTCACTTTGTGGGGGGGTAGGGGTAGGGTGGGGGACACAGTAGGAATGTGGCCCCATTTTCTAAACAAGAAGAAAAGCATTTTAAATTCTCAGTCCTACTCCTCTGAGTGTTCTCTGTTCTCTGCACTGTGTCTAAATGTAATGTGTTCTCCATGGGGCTGGCCTCCATCGGAGGATGTCATGGTTGGGGCTAACAATGTACATCTGGAAGGGGACTAAGTCCTGCCATGCAGTCTCCTTTAGGGTTCCATTAAAGGCCACTGTTTTCCCTATGGCCAGGTGGTAAATAGCTTTTTAAAAGCCTGACATTTTCTGTAATTAATTCTCCTTTGTTCAAGGAGCTAATACAACTCCCATTATGCCACTTTTAGTGAATGGTGGTGGCAGAGCTGAGTGTACCCACACCTCTCTGGTCACAGTGTGCTTCTGCACACCGAGCCCCAGCCCCCAGGAGCTGGCACATCCATCTCAAGGCTTTTCTAATTCCAGCCATTAAATGGGGCCTTCGCATGTCAAGATGTCAGCATCTGACTCCATGCCAGAGTGGGCTCTGAAAATTCACAGGCAAAACTGGTGTTTAATTACAGGGAAAACAGGGTCAGGGAAAAACAGAACAGAATTTACAAGAAGCCTATATCTCTTTTCTCTCTCAAACAAAAGAAAAGCATCACAAGTTTGAATGTTTGTAATCATGAATGACATCCATTATATCACTATCATCTTTTGATGCAACTTTTCCCTCTCCCATATTTTATAAAAGATGCCTATAAATCCATTTTTCTCAGCTGTCAATGTCTTTCCCTGACTGAAGCAGAAAACCTTTCCTACTATGTGATCAAGTCTGATCCCACCTACCACACCCTGTTTTTAATACACACACATCGTCTTAGTAAAGGTTCTGAAAAATGCCCTGTGGTACACAAGCCCATTTAACTCAGTTTAAACAAGCTTTGGCCAGTCATTCATTCATTCATTCAACCAGCAGGTGCTGATCTGAGCTGGGGATGTTCTAGGCCCTGAGAACACAGCAACATACACTTCTTACTCTCAGTGTCGCTTTCTAATAGAGATTGGTGTGCATAATCACCTGTAGCTAGGTGAAAGAGCCATGCTTAACAGAGAAGGGGGTACAGGGATAAAAGCTAGGGCCTCTGGGATAGAATGATGTCAAAATTGATGGAAGTTTTACAAGTTAAATTCAGCTGAGCACATGCCCGATGCCACCCTCGACACACCAGAAGTGTCCACTTGCCTTCTATTGCATGGTGATGTCCTCCCAGTGTCACCAGCTGCTAAGTGACTATGGACCACAATTACTAGGCTATACTCAGGGAACTGGGAGCAGCCAGGCACCTCAGAGCAAACACAGAGCACTGATGGCCATCACTGAAGAGTTGGACCGCTGTGATCAGACTCGTATATGTTGGAGCAAGAACACAGCAACACACACTTCCTGCTCTCAGTATAGCTTTCTTGTAGAGGCCACAGCTTGGCATCATTCACACTGGAGACTGTTTGGCCATGCTTGGGACACCGTGAAATAGAACACAATGCCAGATCCTACCCTTCTTTTTAGTCCTACAAGATGGAGGTTACCGTTCCTCTCACCTATTGAGAGGAAACGCTTGCTTTCAAAATGGTAAGTTTAGTTTTTTTTTTCTGTCACAGTTCATTACTCTCAAAGATTGTGAAAAGATTTTGCAATTAAATTAAGATGTACATTTTATCCCAGCATTCAGGAGGCAGAGACAGAGGCAGGTGGATCTCTGTGAGTTAAAGGCCACCCTTGTCTACATAGTTCCAGGCCACCTGAAGCTACAGGGAGACACTGCCTCAAAAAGACCAAAACAACAACAACAACAACAACAACAACAACAAAAAAACAATGATGTACATTTTAGGCCAACTGCAGCTACAGGGAGACCCTGTCTCAAAAAGACTGAAAAAAAAAAAATGTGTATTTTAAGTTAGTAATGACCCAGGGTTTTTTTTTTTTTTTTTTTTTTTTTTTTTTTTTTTTTTTAGTATTGATTCAAAAGATGCATTTGAAGTTACTGTTTAGCAAACCATTGTTTGCCTCCAAATACCAGTAACTCCCTTTAAACTTTTTTTGAATATACTTGTATCACCCATATTGATCTGCTCCTTTTCATAAGTTGACAGGACTCAAAGGACTTTTAGTGTACACTTATAGCATGTTTTACTTAGCATGTGGTCAGCATATTATACATGCAAATCCTGCTTACTGGAGCTTCTCTATTTAAGCACTTTCATGACTCAGTGCTTTGAAGTCAATCTTAAAAATGCACAAAGTGAACCAGTGACATGGCTCTATAAAGGAGCTTGCTACCAAGCCTAAGGACATGAATTTGATACCTGAGACCCACATGGTAGAAGGAGAGAATGGACTCCAAGCGGTCTCTTGCATCTACACTTGCATCTTGCCACATGAACATTTGTAAACACACACACAACAAATGAACGTAAAAAATGCACAAATTATAAACACAGAAGAAAAGTGTTCTACCAGACCTAATAAGCATTGCGAAAATTTCCATACTAAGACTACGCAGATTTTGGTTCTGTGTTTACTATAAACTGACCAAAACATCTGGCAGAAAATGACTGACACTGTTTGCATCTTTGTATACGTTATTATTTAACGTAATAAAGGTTATTTTCACTTAAAAGCATCTGGTAGGAAGGGGGAGGGAGAAAATCACAAAGAGCTGGGCCACAGTCTAGGTTTTAGAATTCTGAAAAGTTCAAGGAGGCCAGTGTCTGCTTTGTAACAAGAGAAAGAGGAAAAGAGGGGCCAAAGGAGCAGCACTACTGGTGGCCCTCTGCTAAGGTGGAAACTCATGGTCCTCACCCTGTCACACATGGACACTGCAGGGACAGTATTCACCTTTTAAAAATTTTTATTATTTTTATTTTATTATGATTGTATTCCCTGCATGTGTATAACTGCACCAATGTGGTGCAATGCCTGTGGAGGTAAGAGGGTGTTGGATTCCCCTGTAACTGGAGTTATGGATGGTTGTTAGCTGCCATGTGGGTGGCTGGGAATCAAATCCAGGTCTTCTGCAAGAGCAGCTAGTGCTCTTAACCACTGAGCCATCTCTCCAGCCCAGTATTCAACTTTTAAAACATATCCAGACACTGAAGGAAACGTCACAGAATTTGGCAACAAGGAACTAGTTATCTAGGACTTGGGGGAGGAGGGAACTAGACCCCAAGGGTTGGTATGATGGAGATATCCTTGGTCCGGTCATGCTTTTTGACTTTGAATTGTAATGTAGTCACAAAAGTACTAAATTGCAACTTAAAGCACAGTATGGCACAAGAATTTACAATATAAGGTTCTATTACATGCCACTGAACTTCTTCAATTCATAGTAAATGTTCTCTGAATGTGAGTTCAGAAATTTCCACTGTCTTCTCTGCTGTAATCCTTTCCATTCACTGTCTTAGAGTGATGGGTTGTCCTTGGCTAGCAGACTGGAAACACATCCTAAATCCATCCAGGGAGGAACAGATCAGTGTTCAAGATAGACACTAATGAGAACTAGGAAGATGTATAGCAAATGCCTGCATGCCAGGCATAGGTCTTAGCCAGTACCAATTCAATTCTAGCCAATGCACGTGCCCCTATTATTATATTTAAGGAAACATTTCTAAGTGTGCCTAGACATATTCAGATGTTTAAGTTTCCTAAAATCTCTACTAAAAGTGTGGTGGCACATGTGTTTAATCCCAGCCCTCGGGAGGCAGAGGCAGGCAGAACTCTGTGAGCTCTAGGCCAGCCAGGTCTACGTAGTTAGACCTGGTCTCAACCTCCCCCTCCCCTAAAATGTCTATAAAAGCAAGAAAGGAGAAGACAAGAATACTGAATAGCAATGGTCTAATACCTGGTGAGCTCACATTTTCCATCACCATCTGAGGCCTGGGAGATCACATTTCCATGCTGTATTTCCCCTGCTTGAGGTTCATGATTTCTCTTGTTACTGTAAAGGGTAAGTAAAAATAACAATAATAACTTCAGGTCATCCTCAAGGACATAGCAAGTTGGAAGCCAGACTGGGCTACATGAGACCCCAGCTCAAAATACCAAAACCCAAAACCAGAACCGAACAACAACAAAGTATCACTGAAAGTTAGCAGGTCAATTGTCTTAATATGACACAGTTTATACTTGGGAAATGGAACTTTGATTAGTCAAGTATATTTTGTATAATAAGTCTCATAGGAGCAGGTAGCACTTGGATTTCTCGATAAACAAATAAATATTCTAAATCTACTAACAACTATTTAAAAACTTTCTATGTAACGATATGAAAACTGAAATTATTAACAAAATCTTCGGCAAAAAATAATCCAATCCCACTCTGTTTCATTTGTTTGGCACCGGGTAAAGGATCCCTACACAACATCATCCAGTATTCCGATGACAGATGTTCTCCAGGTTTTGTATTCCTTCAAGCGTCATTACCTGGCAGATAGATTCTAGACAAATGTCACTTGATGAATGAATAACTGGAAAGAAGCCAAACTCATGGAATTAGAGAGATTATAAATTTAATGGCATTTCTGGCAAAATAAATATACAACTGCCTTCATTCTAAAAACTCAATGTGAAAATTTAAGGCAATTTCATGTCACAAAGCCTGAAGGATGAACTGCTATCACACTGTCATCCACTTTTCCAGATCTGTGTGAGAAGAAAACAGAATCTTCTGGGTTCTGTAATCTCTAAAATCTTTAAGAGACCCCTCTCCTCACAGTCCCCATGGCTCTCTCCTACCTTTTTTTTGTACAATCCCCTGAAGCTTTATTTAAAAAAAAAACAAAAAGCCCGACTATAACAGCAAATGGCCCAGAATATTTCAAATTCTTTCCATTCTTTGCTCAGCTTTGCAAGAATCCTTAATTTTATTTCAGGGAAGGAGAGGACTTTGTCAGGTTTTTCAAGATTCTATTCTTCAGGATCAAGTGCAAACATGGGAAGATTTCTCTTTCCATCTTGAAATTCCAATTCTGCTTCAAGATGGGCAATGCCCTAATTATCCAAGGGGAGGAGGGGTAAAGCCATTTCTCTCTTTTGAATTTCCCTTTTAACCCAGTCACCCCCAAGAGATGAAGTCGGTGGCTGGTGATCAGCAAGCCAGAACGAAACTGAGCTGCCTGGTTTTAAGAACGTCTTAGACATTCCTCACTCTGGCAGCTCAAATCGCCCAATGCAATAACCCAACTCTTCCTGGCTCAGAGCCCCAGTGTGGGGTTTCGGACAAATAAACCTTTATGACAGCCCTGCCCCTTAGCTAACCAGAACCTGGCTGGCCGGTCAGCACTCACTGCCCAGCCTTTTCCTGCCCTGAGCAGACTGGGAGGGCATAAAAACGCCAGCTTTTGGAAAACCTGGTTCATCTTCCCAGCCAGAAGTGTAGACATTGATGCTTCCACCTCCAACTTCTGACAGGCCTCTCCGTCAGAAAGTCAGAGGCGGAGGGCAGGCTGGACCCGGCTGGCAGCTAGTGTGCTGTTCAGCCAGTCCTTCCCCGCGCCCAATCGTGCGCTCTCCGGAAAGGTTGCACAGGTTCCTCCTTCCCCGCATGCTCCCGGGACCCAAGTTGGGCATTTTCCTCCTCTTTCCACCGCGAATGAAAATGCAAATTCCCAGCCCAGGATGAAGAGGCAGAGTATGCACGGTCCAGGTATCACTCGTTCCATCCATCACTGCATCCCGCACAAGGGCACCGCCTTGTTCGTAATTAAGTGATGAATGCTCTTCCCGTGATCTCTCCACCCAGGGAGGTCCTCGGGCGCCCAAACACACCTTGAGGTCGCTGGCTCACGAAAGCCCGTCCGCTGACCCTTCCGTCCGGTGGGTGGGGGTGGGGGCCCGCGGCGCAGAGACCCAGCGGAGCCCCAAGCTCACCCTCCGTGCAGCCGAGCTCCTCCGCCGCCCCACACGCTCTGCTCGGGCCTCGCGGGGCCTGCGGGCGCAGCCGGAGCGGTCCAGGCGTCCCCGCAGCGCGGGTGGCCGCCACGCCCCAGGCCTCCGGCGGCCCGCGGGACGCAGGGAGGTGGCGGTCCCGGCGCCGGAAGGAGGAAGCGGAGCGCACGCCGGCTCTAGGGGGGGCGAGGCCGCCACCGCCCACCGCGGCCCGCGAGCACCAGCCTGGCTCGGCGCGTTGCTGCCCGCGCGCGTCCTCGCCAACGTGCCCGCGCACGCGGTCCGCGCCGGAGGGAGCCTAGAGGAGGGGGGGCGCAGCCAGCATCCCAGGGCCCTGGTGCACACCCGCCCCTGCAAACGCTCCTGGGGAGGAAAAGGCATCCCATCCCCAAAGATTAGAGTGATGCGCCAGCAGCCAAGCCGCCGCGCCGAGAAACACGTTTGAGAAGGCAAACAAAACCATAAACTTAGAAAAAGCCTCCCCCACCTACCCGAAACAGACCAATAATCATTCTTTAATTTTTTTTTTTTTTTCCAAATTTGGGAAAAGGTCAGATCTCGGAGGTTTTGGTACTGTACAAATCTGTGTTCTCACAGTTTTGTGCTTTTATTCCGATTTGTTTTTCAGAAACTGTCTCACACTGTAGCCCAGACTGGTCTGGAACTCACTATGAAGCTCAGGCTGGCCTGCAATCTGTGGTAATCCTCCTGCCTCAGTCTCAACGACTGCAGAGATTATAGGCATCTGTGAGGCATCACCTCTTGCTCTGTCCTTAACTTTAACTGGCCTGATGGGAGTTCTACTGGATCTTAAGAAAACGTAGCTTAAGAAGCAGGTCTGGTCCTGTGTCCTTTATCCCAGCACTCTGTCCGAGGAGGCAGAGGGAGTCCCAGACCAGCCAGGGTTACATAGTGAGAAGGCAGGACTGACAGGCCTGATGTTAGCTATTAGCCTCAGGTTTCTGAGTGTATTATTTTACTCAGGGCCAACTGTTTTGAGGTAGTCACTTATGTTAGTTTCTGGAGCACAGAATACAGGAAGAAAATGACCACATCTGACCTCAACAGACTAGACAGTTTATTAAGCACAGCAAGGTGCTGCGACCTTCCCTAGGGATAGAGGCTACTGCAAAGGGGCGTAGGGGCTGGTCAGAGTCTTGTATATGGGCAGCAGCTACAAGGGGAGTTTCGGGTGACAACTTCTGCAGGGGAGATTTATTTTCCGCCATTCTTGTGGTTTCTCTTGGGACTCCTCCTTGTAGGACTCCTCTGTGTGGCCAGTCTGACACCCAGACAGGGGGAAAGAGGAAGTCCTCAATATAGAACTGGATAGTGGAGGGACTAGACCTTCTGTGGTCAGAGGTCCTATGTTGTTCCTTCAACTTGTCCTGTGATAGAGGAATAAGGGCCTTTCTTTCTTTCTTTCTTTCTTTCTTTCTTTCTTTCTTCTTTCTTTTTAATATTTTTATTTTATGTGTATGAGTGTATTGCCTGCATGTATGTGAGTGCACCCTTGTCTTGCAATGCCCTGGAGGTCAGAAGATGGTGTCAGATTCCCCTGGATCTGGAGTTAAGGACGGTTCATAGTCACCATGTGGATGTTGGGAATCAAACCCCGGTCCTCTGCAAGAGCAGTCAGTGCTCTTAACTACTGAGCCATCTCTCCAGTCCCCTATTTATTTATTTTTTGACAGATAAAGATAAAAAGTGCCTAGTGAAGAAAAAATATTTTTTTAAATACAAACTGGCACAGCTGGTAGAGTCAGGGCAGAGGCATTAAGACTATATCAAAAGGGGATATGCGCAAACTGACAGAAAGGTCCCCCAATGAATTCCACACAGTGAATGCAGAGACTGAATCCAAAATTTTGTAAAATTAGTTTAAGACTGTACATTTTGTTCAGAAGCCCTCCTTTCACACATGAGCACTGGACTAGGCCTTGAGACCACAGCCTTTTTTATTTTTTCTTCTGTTTAATAAAGTTCATTTTCTGTAAGTTTAGCAGTGAAACAAAACTGGATCAGTAGAGATTTCAGCCTTTCACACAAGGCACTTGCAGTAAAAACCAACAAAGCATGTGTCTGAGAATGCCCTGTAGGAGCAGTCAGACCTCTTATCAGTGGTTTAGTTTAATTTCTGTTGCCTGACAAAAACAACTCAGGGGAGAAAGACTTTCTTTTGGCTTACAGTTCCAGAGGGATACAGTCCATCATAAAACTGGCATGGCAGCAGGAGCGTGAGGTCAGCAGTCACTGAACTACAGCAGCAGCCCAGAAGTGGGGAGAATGAACTCAGGAGTGCTGCACCTCTCATCTCCCTCCTTACACTTATACAGTCTTAGACTGAAACCCAGAATGTGGCACTGCCCACAATGGGGGAGTCTTCCTGTCTCAGTGAACACAATCAAGATAATTCCTCCACAGACATGCCCACAGGCCAACCCCACCTAGACAGTTCTTCACTGAGACTCTCTTCCCAGGTGATAATAGATTGTGTCAAGGTGACAAAATTAGTCATTGCAAGTGGAAAGGGTACATAAATAATCCTACTGTATGGCAAAGGATGGAGGTTGTCTGGTGGCAATGCATGTTGGTGATGGTGTGCAGTGCAAAACAACTCTTAGTGTGCTGTGTAAGGCCAGCCTGGGCTACAGGGTCATCATGCAATCATTTTCTCCATTGCATTTTTAAACTTAAAAGAACAAGTGATCAATGAACTGTTACTAATGAATTTCAGCAATCGACAGACATGGTTTTTTTTTTCCATAAGGAGTGAAATGAGCATGTTATTTCAAAGGATAAAAAGTGATAATACTTCTTGCCAGTGGTAAAATTCAGGATTTCATGAGAAAATTCAGACTTTTGCGCATCACTGAGTTTAGAGCATCCCAATATTTAAAGGATTTTCTGATGAAAATACAACTATGTCTCTTTTTAAAAATATTGTATAATGATAGACCAGTTTCCTAGTTTGATTTCTTGTTGCTGTGATAAACACTATGAACAACATCAATTTGGGGGTAAAAGGGTTTATTTCATCTTCTATTTCCAAGTCACAATCTATCATTGAAGGAAGTCAGGGCACAAGTTCAAACAGGTGCTGAAGGAGGCTGGAAAGATAACACAACAGTTAAGAGCACTGGCTGCTCTTGCTGAGGACCTGGGTTCAATTCCTAACACCCACATGATGGTTGACAGTTGGCCTTAACTCCAGTTCCAGGAGAATTGGTTTCCCTCTTCTGACCTCTGCAGGCATTGCAGGACATGGGTGCACTTACATACATGCAGGCAATACATTCATACACATAAAATAAAAATAAATAATAAATAAAACTATGGAGGAATGTTGCTTACTGGTTTACTCACTGACTCAGTTGGCTTTCCTAAGCAGGCCAGACTCACTGGCCTAGGAATGTACCACACACAGTGGCCTAGGTCCTCCCATATCAATCAGTATCCAAGGTCAATCCAATCTAGGTAAATCCCCGACTGTAGCTCCTTCTTCCCAGGTGACTCTTGTTTGTGTCAAGTTGACAGTAAAGACTAACTGGTACAATGATGGCATATAAGAAGTAGTGTTTGACCTTTGGCTGTTTTCTGACATAGAGATCCCAAATCCCTTGGAATCTCCTGGGTAATATGAATGTCTTTTGTACTGTTTTAGACAACTCTTGGTAGGCCCCTAGATGGCTTCAGCTATGAGCTGGCTTCCAGAAGGATTGCCTTAACTAGAAGACAGAGACTTTCAGATTTATCCTCTGTTCTCTAGGAAGGTGAGAGGGTCTGGGGATTTTCTTAATGAGTAGATGGTACCTACATGATGGAGCCTCCATGAAGAAACTCTAAGCTACAGGGTCAGAGAACTTCCAAGTTGGTGAACACTAGGGCTAGAACACTAGGGCTTAGCAGGGGTATGGGAGCTCCATATCCCCTCCCTCTGAGTTTGTTTCATGCATCCCCTCTACTTAGCTATTTTTGAGTTGTGACCTTTACAATAAATCTGTAATAGCAAACTGTTCTGAGTCCTGTGAAATGTTCTATAAAGTTATCAAACATAGGTATGGAGGGATCATGGTATCATGGTTTTGTTGCTGTTGGTCCCTGGTGATGATGTTATTTTGAGAGGAAACTTAGAAGAAGTGGCCTAGCTGGAGGAAGGAGGTTACTGGAGGCATGCTTTTAAAGTTTATAACTGGTGACCCAACTGCCACTCTTTTTCTCCCATTCCTGCTTATCAAGGGGTGAACTGTTTTTCTCTACCACATGCTTCCTGCCAGATGTTCAGCATTACCACAGGCCCTGAAACAATAAACTTAAGGGACCATGGGCTGCAATCTGCAAAACAATGAGCCAAAATAAATCCTTCTTCCACTTACATTATGCCTCAGACGTTTTGTCACTGTGATGAAATGTCTGACTCACATACATGGGAGCCTCCATTTGTTAGCTGAGTTAGAAGTGTGGGTAACCTCAAGACCGAATACTTTTAACTTGAACAAAGGCAGTCTTGTGAGACCAGATCTTTAACCTGAAAGGTCTGATCTTAACCTCAGATAGCCCAAAATTACATTGAATTGAAAGGTACCCTTAGTGTCTAGAAAATCAGAGAATTAGGTCTGTAGGGAAATAATCCCACACACATGAATTGTGATGTCACAGAGTAAAAATATATTCATTGATAAACCCCATTTTTTACTAACCTTATTGAGTTGAATCTATTATTAAAGAAAAACACTCCAGACTACCTAGAAATAATACAATATTTCTCGTTTATTCTGTTTGTTTATGTGAAGGGTTTCCTTCATATTCTTAGACCAAAATAACACGTTGCAACAGACAGCATGTGGAGAAGTAAGTCCGTCTATTTTTCTGTTATTCCAGAAATTAAAGAGATTTATAAAATTGTAAACAATGAAATATTTTTCCTTAAAATGTATTCTATATAATAACATGTAATGAAGATATTTATTTCAAATTCTTTAATAGCTATTTGAAATCTCTCAGCCTCAGTTTCTAATAATGTAAGTATATATGGACATAACAGATAATCCAAAGCATTTTGGGATCTGTGAACATTTTCAAGAGTATAAATGGGTCTTCAGATCGAAATGTTTGAGAGCGATTTTTTTTAAGAAATGCAAATTCTTTACAGTAAAAGGAAAAAAAAAAAACCACTGTATTCTTTTGAAACTCACACCGACAAGTAAATATTTGCAAAGGTAAAGTTAGAGGTGCCTGGCTTCGAGGTGGTACTAGGGAATGTG